GAGGAGTGGCTGGTGGGTTTGAACCGCCAGCCTTCTGGTGAACAGTCAAGTGCCTTAGGCACTATGCTACCAGAGCTCCTAGATACTACACTACTGTTATATAAAATGTTAACATCGGTAGAGGCTGGGTGAAGGACACATAAGACCTCTCTCTCTATTTCTTTGTACTATTCTGTGAATTACACAATTTTTCAATATAAAAAGCAAAATTTAAAAATTTAATTGACCAAGATATAAGTGACTCACCTCTTCCTTTGTGGTGTTCTCAGGCACCCCGTTTAACTGAATACGCCTGCTTGGTTTCTCTTCACTTGGGCCAGTCCTGTAATCTTGATCCTTGAATTCAGAATAAAAGTTATTTTACAAACAAATATTAATTTAGGGTACAGAATGCAGCTGAATGTGAAATACTGATACTCAGGATCAAAAATGAAAATGACTTGTGCGTCGTATGAGGAAATGAAAAATAACTAAATAACTAATTTTGTTCTAAGTCCTTTTTATTTAAAATTATTAGAATGCATGTGTGCTAAGATCAAGATTCATGGAGGAGGTCTTGAAATAGTAAAGCAGAAGGTTAAGAGAAAGAGCATTGAATAATAATTTTATAATCGGGGGGGGGGGACAAAACGCTAACATATTCTCCAAATCTTACTTAAAATGAAAGGTAAGATATTTGTCTGAAATTATAATTTTCCTTTTCTGCATGAGCAAATAGCAAACAAAGAAATTTAAGCTAGATGTCTTATCAAAGATGCTATTTGTAAACAAATTTCATTAGAAAAAAATCAAAAGGTGTCATCTCAGTCTAAACCTTGCCAAAATCCGCACTTTTCATATTTACAAAAACCTGTTTTCTAACTGATTCTTCCCCATTTCAAAATTTATGAAAAAGACTTATAACTTTTCAGAAAAATTGTCCTATACACTGCAGTTACACATACTGTGCTGGCATAATTATTAATACTGTCCTCTTGCACTCTTGAAAGAGTTCCATTTGGATAATAAATTATGTCACATCACCCAAATTTAATACTATCAAAATCAACTATTTGGTTAGACTGCCTTAAGATCATGGTCCAAAATAACAGAAACCTGAGTACAGCTATTTAAAAGGATATTTTCATTGTCTAATTTGTAAGCATAATAATCCTCCTTAGATTATTTATACAAGAAATTTAACATGTAAGTCAATTAAATTAGCTGCAAGAGGACCCTTGTGACGTTAACATCACGTCCTTATGCCTAGGCAAAGGCTCATCTCTCAGTCTACTGGTATTCAAAAATGTTGAATGGGTATAATCTAATTATAAAAAAATTCCCAGTATATAAGGAAGGCAGGATACCATAACCTTCAGAAAAATCTGCATTTTCCACATTTATGAAAGTAAATAAATTTAAGTAATAAAATGAACCCTACACAGCCTAAGACCTGTCTATGTACAAGTTGTGAGGACCAATTCCCAAAGACACACATTTTCAAACAAATTATCCAAGCTCATTTAAGTAAGCATCATAAAGAAAAATAGTGGAACCAAAAAAATATATATGTGAGGGTGTATGCATATGTATGTGTGTATGTAACACACACATACTACATACACACAGGTGCAATGCAGTGAGATGCTTGGTGTGGTGCTTCTAGCCACTGTCCTCCATTTTGTGATGTATTTTAAATCCTACTCTCTATGCTTGTTTGGGAGCTCTGGTAGCATAGTGCCTAAGGCACTTGACTGCTAACCAGAAGGCTGGCGGTTCAAACCTACCAGCCACTCCTCAGAAGGAAGATGGGGCAATGTACTTCCCAGTGATACTGCCTCAGGAAACCCAAGGAGGGGTCACTATTAGTCGGGTCTGACTCACATAACAACAACAACTTGTTTGTTTAGGGTGGGAAGTATCTTGAGTCACACCTTGCTAGAGACTTAGCTTTCCTGAAGGTATGTACACATGTGAATGTTCTGGGAAAGTTCTCTCTCTTTTGGTTTATCATCATCTCACCCCTAGACTTGAGACAGCAACTGGTCATCTGACCGGCCAATTTGGATTCACCTGCCCCCACAATCACATGAGTTGGGGGAATCCTCCAGAACCTGCCTACAGCCTTGGGACTTGACTCTACCACCACATGAGCCATATCCTTAGGAGTTTGTGAGTTCTGTGAGACATTACAGTGAAATGTAAAACTCAAAGATCGGAAGGAGAGTACTGAGTGGAGGAGGAAAAGGGAAGAAATGATGTCAGAGATTATGGAGTGGCACAGCAGTTTGGAAAAGTTGGACATTTGGGCCATCTTTATAACCTCTGCCTCATAGGGACCAGCCTTATGCTGTTCCTTCTAAAGGAAATTATTCAAGCAGTATGCATGTAAGTAGATACGTATATATATGTATGTATATATAGGAATATGCTACATATATGTGCATCTGTGAGGTATAGAGAGTTCTAGTTGTGCTGTGGTTAAGACAGTAGGCTGCTAACCAAAAGGTCAGTCGTTTGAACACACCAAGCTGCTTTGCAAGAGAAAGATGAGGCAGTCTGCTTCCACAAAGATTTATAGGCTTGGAAACCCTATCGGTCAGAATCAACTTGATGGCAGTGGGTTTGGTATGCATATATACATACATATATATATATATATATATATATATATATATATATATATAGTAAAATACACAGAGGCCACAGTTATGGATACTGCTTAGACAAAACCACATACCTTGCAGGATTAGATTTCTGGCTTTGAAGGATTAGGACCACAGTCTGAGGGGACATCCTGGATAATTGGCATGAAGTTATGTTCTACATCCTAATTTGGTGAGTAGTATCTAGGGTCTTAAAAGCTTTAAGTGACCATCTAATACAACTATTGGTCTCTACTTGTCTGAACAAAGGAGAAAGAAGGAAACCAAAGACTCAAAGAAGAAAGTAGTCTATAAGACAGTCCACGCCCTCATCTACCCCAAGACCAGAAGTAGATAGTGCTCAGCTACAGCTACCGATCATTCTGACCAGGGCCACAATAGATGGATCCTGATAGAAAGGTTGAAAAATGTGGAAGGGAATCTCAAATTTCTTTTGGGGGAAGGAGGGACGACCTACTGGACTGGTTAAGACTGGAGGACTCTTCAGAGACTGCTGTCCTGAGATACTCTTCAAACCCTGAACTGCAACTAACCCAAGCACCTTGCAGGTAAATAAAAGACGATCTCAAAAATTAATGAGTATCACCCATAAGTACTGTGCTCCTTTTAAAAATCACCTACATGAGGACATTATGCTGAGTGAAACAAGTCAATCACAGAAAGACAAATATTATATAAGTCCATTATTGTAAAAAGTCAAAGAAAGGTTTATATATGGAACGAAACTTTCTTTGTTGGTTACCAGAGGTGGGAGGGGAGGGGAGGGAATACTGTTAGAGAGGTAGAGACAAATACTGATTTGGGTGAACAGAAAGGTAATGTACCAAATGTGAGTGATCAACACAGTGGCATTGGAGAAGAGGAAGACGCAGACACGTGCATGGGAGGTACAGACAACAAAGATGAACCCTTTTGAACATATAGTTCACTATATGTTCACTGCGTTGTCAGTGAAGGCAACATGGATATACAGATGGATAAATGGTTTGACAGGCTAAACTATCAGGTATGTCTATGCAGGGGGGAGTGCGCCCAAGACCATGCATAGGGTTGGCAGACAATGGTCATTTAAAAAAAAAAAAAAAGGGACAAGGTTTGTTGGTCTGATCGAACCTGGTGGACTCTGAGACTACTGCCCCTAGCTGCCCTTCAGGTCTGGAATTAAACCCACTCCTGTGGCTTCCAGCCAAACAAAAGACAGGCATATCAACTTAATATTTACATTAGGTAGATACACTCCTTGGAGAGAACAATCATGGGAGAATAGAAGGGCTGTATATGCACAGGGAGACAGCTGGGGGCGGGGCAGGAGTGCATGGGAGGGAAGGACACAGGGAAGAGGTGGCTATGGGGAGTAAGTGGGAGGGGAGCTGTTACATTATAGAATATTGCAGTCAATGTCATGAGACAAAGTGTATATGAGCTTCTGTATGGAAAATGAATTTGCTCTGTAAACTTTTACCCAAATCACAATAAAAAATAATAAACAAATAAATAATCACCTACATGAGACCAAACAGTCAGCAATTACTTTTAAAAAAAGATGTGAATATAAGAGGGCAGGGAAACTGGATTAACGGAAAAGGAACAACGAAAACAGAAATAATGAGAATGTCCACACATTGTTTAGAATGCAACCAATGGCAATGAATAACTTGTGTTGAAATTGTTAAATGGGAATCAAAATTGCTATGTAAACCTTCACCAAAAACATAATAAAATATTAAAAAAAAAAAAGAAAAAGAAAGAAGGAAAAAAGAAAACCAGTGCAGACACACAAATTAGAAATATGATATGAGCTGAAGGCCCTTTCTATGGAGATTTACATTCCACTCCTGAACACAAATTTTGCTTGTTAATGGTGTGCAAGGAAACACAGGACTAAAGGTCCTGGATTCTACACGTTATCTTTCAGAAAAGCCTTATGCAAAAGGAAAAAGCAATCCATCTCATAAACATACCTGAAGTTCTCGTTGGGCATCTCGGGCAGTTTTGCCCTCTACGAAAGACTTGTTCTGGCCATAGCCATATATCTGGCTTCCTGGCAGTCTGTGGTCCACATCACGGTACTCCATGCTTCTATAATCAGTGTCTTGACGGCCAAGAAAGTCCAAACTACTTTCTTCTTTAAACAGACCAGCATCTGAACTTCGTTGTTCAACTCCAGAAAGCTGTGACTTATCTTGGTCTTGAAGTGGACTTTGGCTGTTCTGAAAGTCTGATGGCAACTCATGTTCAAAAGCTGCACCTTGTGTTTCTCCTTCTCTTGTTTCTGAATGCTCAAATTCTCCCTTCTGAATGCCAAAAGCAGGCCTTTCTATTATATGGTCATGTGTGGATTCTTCTCTCTTGTTCACATTCACACCAGAATGTTCTCTATCTTGTGTAGAGGGCTGAATGTAATCCAAAATATTTGGATCCACAGGGGGCAACTCCCTATCTTTAAATTCCATACAAGGTCCCACCTCTCTGCCCCTAAAATCCTGATCAGTCCTGGACCGATGCCTATTTCTGAAATCTGAATGTGAGGTGTCCCTGCCCCTAAAGTCTAGATCAGCAGCACCTGAACCTCGGCCTCTAAAGTCCACCTGTGTTCCTTCTTTGTCCCTAAAGTCCAAATCAGATACATCTCTATTCCTAAAATCTGAGCGGGACTGATCTCTGGCCCTGAAATCCAAATCTGATAAATCTCTTCCCCTAAAATCTGCATGGGATCCATCCCGGCCTCTAAAATCTAAATCATAAGCACCTCGACCCCTGAAGTCTGAAGAAGGAGCATCTCTACCTCTGAAGTCAATAGTGTGAGCATCCCTGTCTCTGTAGTTCATATGAGATGTCTCCCTACCTCTATAATCCATAGAAGTACCATCCCCACCCCTGTAGTCCATAGATGGGCCCTCTCTATCCCGAAAATCCCCAGCATGTATGTCCCTACCCCTGAAGTCCAACTGTGATGAATCCCTACTCTGGAAATCAGAAGATGAAAAATCTCCCCCTCTAAAATCATGTCCAGGACCCTCCCCTCCCCGATAGTCACCATGTGGTCCGTCTCTAGCTCCATAGCTGAAAGAATGTTCCTCCACATTTGCAAAGGGAGGCCCCGAATGCCCCTGGAAATCAAAGGGAAGTGAATCTCTGCCAGGAAAGTTGCCAGAGTGTCTCTCTTGAGCATGACTCTTAAGGGGAGGAGGAGGATAATCCCTGTTCCACCCGGGAGCAAACCTTTCTTCTTGGCTCCCACTGTAGAAACAAAGACAGTGTTACTTATATTGTCCAGAGAGTTTGAAATCTACACACCAGCATATTCTTCTCTAATCACAGCACATTCTTCTGTAAACATTTTTTTTTTTTTTTTGGCAGAGTTCTGTAACAAGGTCCTAGATCTGCAGAAAACATCAGTTTTGCTATTTTAAGACGAAGTGGCGGAGTAAACTTTTATGCTCCCATTTCAGAACACGAGGAAAGTCAACACAAGGTTTTCAACATGACTGCTGCAGAAAAAGCTTTCACCCAGTCCTGCAACAGGGAAAATCCGCAACACCAGATAAGCTAGCAATGGTGACACACTACAAAAATTTTCATTTCCTACAGTCAGGGAACTTGGAATTCCAAGGTCAATATGACGATTCCTATACATCAGAAAAATTAATGCACTGTAAATGTCTTACAGTAAATTTCAGGAGGTGCTGTTCTCATTGCTGCATCCAAGGGTGATAGTCAAAAATATTTATTACAGCTAAAGCACAGACATCACCCAACCAGAACAGATGCAGGCCCAAAACAAAGAAAACACTGGCTATAGATCAGCAGTAAGAGTACACCAGTATATACCAGCTGAGCATCACCCCTGGCTGTGTCTAAATCCCAGTTCTGCAGTGGCTCTGCCAAGAACCACTCTCACTTGGGTCCTATTATTATAACTATCCAAGAGGATGTTACAGAAGACAGCATGAATTATGCCACAAGGCATGTGTTAGCCATCTAAGCCAAGCAACAGCATCTAGGAACTTAATGATGAAAGGGATCTAGAAAGAGCATTAGGCCTTCAAGCATTATTCCCATGTCCCAAAAGAAGCAGCTGATATTCCAGATGCCAATGCCACAAACTAGTTGTTGTTGTTTTTTTTAAATGGTAATAAAGTACTTAAAAATAAGCATAGTATGTATTAAATTCGTATTGCCAGTTTACCAAACTCATGAGATAAATAAAATCTGGCCCAATCCCTTCTTCCCTTCACTTAACCTCAAGACCATTTTACATGTTTTGGCTTTGGTAAGAGATTAGGGAATTTAGGCATTTAGGTACATGGGATCCTGATTTGGGGCAGAGAATAAAGAAAACAGAAAGAGTTCTGAGGGGTTATCTGCTACTTAGCAGTAAATCAAAAGTAGGAGATCAAGTCCAACTAATTAAAGGATTCTGAGTCACTCAGTTCAACAGCAACAGTTTACATTGGGAATTTAACAACATTAACCCAAACACTAGAATAGTGCACATTTAGAAAAATTTCAGAACACTATGACTTCCACTGGTTCCCATTAACATTAGTTATGTCTATGCACTTCATCATGAGGGTAATCAGCTTTAATGTTCTTCATAAATAATACATTTAAATCCTAGTTAGCTTACAGGAAGACTTATGCCTCAGCAGACATGTAGGGGATGAGTTTCTGAGGTATCTAAATCTAAATCTACATGTCTTCTCTAACCAGAACATATCCAACCCTGCCTTTGAACTCTGCCCTAAGGATTATCTTACCTTTTTAAATTGGGATCAAAATAGATCTAGAGTAACCTACTGTACTAGGATTCCTGGAACTGTAATTTACACAGACTATACAAAAAATTCTATCAATATAAAATAGCAGTGGCCATAAAAATCATTTTCAGTCAAATAAAAACAAATTTAAGATGGATAGTCACTCAAATGAAACACAAAATAATTTTCCAGCAAGATGCATTTTTGGCCAAAGTAGTCAAAAAGGAATGCTGTATAAATTATGTCTCCCTCTGGTCCAAAGTCTTTAAAAAAAAAAAAAATTCTGAAATAGAAAAATGTCTTACGCTATAGCTAAATTTATCTAATTTCAGAATGCAGACTTAAACCACACTAAGTTAGTTCTGTAAGAAACAGCCTCATTTACAAATAATTATCCATAAGTAATAAGAGAATAGATTACAATCTAAATGTTTTTAAAATGTTAAAAGTATAGCCCACTAATCTACACCAGGGGTCAGTAAACTTTTGTTGTAAAGAGCCAGAGAGTAAATGTATTAGGGCTTTGAGAGGTATATAGTCTCTGAACAACTATTCCACCCTACCATTATAGCACAAAAGCAAGGACAGACAATTTGTAAACGAATGAGTGTGGATGTTCCAACAAAACTTTATTTACAAAAAGAAGCTATAGTTTGCTGACCACTGATCCAGACCTTGGTACTTTGAAAGAAAAAAAACATAGCATCACTATAATAACTTTAATTTAAAGATAGCTGGGCAGAAAGTAAAGACCTCTATCATCTAGCATTTATAAAATACTAGCTTTACTAAACATAACATGGATTTTCTAAACTCAGTTCTCAACCTAAAATTTGACCACAGAACGCCCAAGTTTAAGAATAGTGAATGAGAACATCTGTTGAATTTATACAATAAAATCTTGGAGACTGTCAATCCAAATGAAAATGTACTAGTAATAGAAATTTCAACTGCAGCAACATACTTTTAAATGCTTAACTTTAGATATCAGACTTCTTTACACCAAGAAAAACTGTAAAAATCTGTCTTAAAAGCACATTATTAAATGTAAACACAACACAAAAGCTTTAAAAATACCATTAGTGTATTAGCTATTAAAAAAATTAATTCCCTACAAATCTAAAAAAACAACCCAGTTACAACTGAATGCTACACTTTCTCTACATATCTTTGTATCCAGGAACCCTGACATTGAAATGTCATTTAAAAAACTGGATCAAGTCATTTTCCCTTCTCAGAATCATTTGTGGTACTTATTGCTTAACAATCTGCCACTGGAAAGACACAGCCCTAAATTCCAGGTATGAATTAGTGAACATAATGGAACTTTTATAAATGTGTATATACATTTTTGTTTGCTTTATTTACTAGATAAGTATGAAATACTTTGCTGACAAGATATAAAAAAATAAAAGATCTGGTGATATTTTAAAATGTTTAAAAAGATGTTATAAAACAAAATACTTGGCGTGTTGGGTTTTCAGTTTCCTAATAATTTAGAAATAACTGAAAATTTTTTTTTTAGTTTATATTTTTAATAAACCAGAGATATTTCTCCACATAGAAAACACCTCCCTTTACGGTAGGCCAAGTTGTACACTGTACCATTAAAATATTGACAATTTAAATATTCCAATTTCAGGACTTACCGAAAAGGTCCTGTTCTGTTAGCAGATCGAGAATCCCCCCACATCTCTTTCTATATCAAGAGGCCTCCAATAAATAGATCCCTTTTCTACCAAACTCTGGTTATAGCGGCACCTGTGTAAAACAAAATACATTAGTACATTAGAATATGAAATAGTGGTTAACCTGATTTCCTTCTGCTTGGCTTATCTGGGACCACATCAGCAAGGACATATTTGGAAATCACTTTTAAAAATTTACAAATTAATTTTATAACAAGAAAAATAAATTTTTAATTAAAAATACATATCCTGGGATAGGTGCAGGAGATCCTGGATAGAGTGGGAGAACATGTGGAACAAAACTCAAAATCATAAAAAAAAAGACCAGGTTTTCCTGGTCTGATAGAGCCTTGTGAGACCTCTGAGGTCACAGTTCCTAGCCACCCTTCAGGTCTGGAATTTGAACTCACTCTTGTGGCTTCCAGCAAAACAACAGACATATTGGGTGAATATTTACATCAGGTAGATATATTACTTGGAGCGTTCAATCATGGGAGAACAAAAGGGCAGTGTTTGCATAGGGAAATAGCTCAGGGGGCAGAAGTGCATGGGAGGAAACATACAGGGAAGAGGTAACTATGGGGAGGAAGTGGGAAGAGAGCTATTACATTGTGGGGAATTGCAGTCAATGTCATGAGACAAAGGAGCTCTGGTGGTATAGTGCCTAAGGCATCTGACTGCTAACCAGAAGGCTGGCAGTTCAAACCCACCAGGTACTCCTCAGAAGACTGGACAATCTACTTCTATAGAGATACCACCTTGAAACCCAAGAAGGGGTCGCTATGAGTCAGAATCAACTTGACGGCATAGAGTTTGGGTTTTTGTTTTGTTTTGTTTTTGGTCATGAGACAGAATGTGTATGAACTGGTGCATGGAAAATGAATTTGCTCTGTAAACTTTCACCCAAATCACAAAAATTAAAAAAATAAAAATGTTCACCCTAGGGCAGCATAAAATTTTCAAATGTTCTATGAATGTTTCATAATTACTAGGCAAGTATTTACTGATTTTTCCAGCACCTATTCTTCCTTTTTTTGGAAACAGCATTAAACCCATTCTGATCCCCCATCACCCAGCCTGGGCATTGAGAAAAGCCTATTACTCTCACTACAGTGATTGCTCTGAAGGTGAATATGTAACCCAACCCAAGGTAAGAAGTCATCCCCAGTACTTCTCTTGCAGCTACTAAAAAAGAGCTATTTCCCTGAGATCGGAGCTCTGGTGGCATAAGGCATTTGGCTGCTAACTGGAAGGTCAGCTGTTCAAACCCATCAGCTGCTCCATGGAAAGAAGGCAGAATGATCTACTTCCATAAAGATTTACAGCCTTGGAAACCCAATGGTGGGTAGTTATGAGTCAGAAATGACTTGATGGCAGGGAATTTTGTTTTTTTCCCTGAAATTACAGGTCTTACGGACCCAAGAAACTTGCAGTTGCCCAGGATACCATATAGGTTACCTGCAAAAAGACTTCACCTGAGAATGAAGCCAATACAAAGGCAAAAAAGAAAAACAAAAACAGAACTATAAAAGCGAAGAGCCAAGGGACCGATGACATTGTGCCTTTGAATTCAGCCTCTCATGAAGCCAGCTCTATACTTTTCAGTTACAGGAGCCAACAATTCCCTTAATGAGTCCTAACTATTCAGTACTCTGTTGACAGTGTCTCCAAAACGAAAAAAGACATTATTCTTATCTTACAACTGATCTGAGGCCCAAGCAGGAAAAACTAATAGAATAAAGCAATAATATCTTCCATTAACATGCCAACCGAACCAGCTGGAATTCTGTTTATACCACTTCTACTACTCTGCCTTCTACAATAGTCATACTTACAACCAAATGAAGGTAAACAGACACGAGGCTAGAGAAGTGCTAGGAACCTCTAACAGGGAGAGGGGCTGCCATTATTGCTTATGAAACTATAATGGTCTGGAGAAGCACCTCATTACTACTTGGGCATAAACAAACTGAGGAGACACAACCCATGAAGCACAAGTAAGGGTCGTATGTATAAAATAAACTACTATACTAAGTACCAGAAATCCCTGAGCAGTGCAAGCTTTGCAATCGGTTGATAATCTAAAGACTGGCAGTTTTAATACACCCAGTAGTGAGCTGAAGAAAGGCCTAGCAAACAGCTTCCATAAATATTACAGCCAAGAAAACCATGTGGAGCAGTTATACTCTAATACATTGGGTCACCATGAATTGCAATTCACTCAAGAGAAATGTGCTACAGTGCCAGTCAACATAAAGAGACAAAATAAAGTATTAAAAATTAGAAAGGAGAGGAAAAATAATTATTATTTGCATATAATGATTATTTACCTGGGAACCCCAAGAAAATAAATTCAAACCTTCTATAAACAGCAAGAAAATTCAGTAACCAACAGCCTTCATATATACAACCCACTAGTAAAAAGACAGGAGCTCTGGTAGCATAGTGCCTAAGGCACTTGACTGCTAACCAGAAGGCTGGAGGTTCAAACCCACCAGCCACTCCTCGGAAGGAAGGTTGGGCATTCCTACTTCGTAGTGATACTGCCTCGGAAACCCAAGGAGGGGTCGCTATGAGTTGGGGCCGACTCGATGGCAAATAACAACAACAACAACAGTAAAAAGACAATGAGAAAAAAGATCTGATCTCAAGCAACAACAAAAAGATAAACTTATATCTAAATGAAAAGTTAAACACAAAATTACCATATGACCCAACAATTCCACTTCTGGGTATTTACTCAAAAGAAGTGAAAAAACATATCGTACAGGAATGTTCATAGCAACACAGTCACAACAGTCAAAAAATGTGGAAACAACTCCAGTGTCCATCAACAGATGAACGGATGAACAAAGTAAGGTATATACATACTGTGGAACATTATTCAATCATGAAAAGGAATGAAGCTCTGATACATCCTAGGACATGAACTTTGAAAACATACTAACTGAAATATGCCAGACACAAAAGATAAATATTGCATGACTCCACTCATATGAATAATGTGTTGTTGTTAGATGCCGTTGAATTGGCTCCAACTCAGAGTAATCCTATGTACAACAGTATGAAACACTGCCCAGTCCTGCCGCAACCTCACAATCCTTGCTATGCTTAAACCCATCGTTACCGCCACTGTGTCAATCCATCTTGTTCCAGCTTCCCCTTTTTTGCTGAGCCTGTAACTTTACCAAACATGATATCCTTTTCAACATGAATTATCTAGAATAGGCAAATTCATACAGACAGAAAGCAGATTAGAGGTTATTAGGGCCTAGGGCGTGGGAGTAGGAGGTTAAGGGGATGAACGTGGAGTGGTTGCTTAATGAGTCAGAGTTTGGAGTGATGAAAACTTTTGGAAATCAATAGCAGTGATAGTTTCACAGTACTGGGCCTGTAATCAATGCCACTGAATTGTATATTTCAAAATGGTCAAAATGCCCAATTTGGTTACATATTTTACTGCAATTAAAAATGTATCTATAAATGAAGAAAACTTTAAAAATGTCCTGAGGAATACACAAGGCATAAACTAATGCAGAAATATATCATGTTCTTAGGAGACATTTCAGAGACTGGATTCTATGTAAATTAATCTACAAATTATCATAATCTCTAAAAGAAGGGTTAGGATTTTTCCTGGCATTAGACAAGCATACCAAAAAAAAAAAAAAAAACAGTTACAAAGTAATAAAAAATAATGATCTGAAAAGCCCCCATTGGCCAAACACATTGCCATCTAGTCGGATGCGACTCACAGCAGCCCCTCCTTGGATTTCCGAGGCGGTATCACTACAAGTCCACCAGCCACTCCTCGGAAGGAAGGTTGGGCAAGCTACTTCCGTAGTGATACTGCCTTGGTAACCCAAGGAGGGGTCGCTATGAGTCAGGGCTGACTCGACCGCACATAAGAACAAGAAGAAAGAGATCACTACAAGTATATTGATTGCCCAACCTTCCTTCCGAGGAGTGGCTGGTGGGTTTGAACTGCCAGCCTTCTGACAGGGGCAAGGCAGTAGGGCTTAGTTTTTAGCAATGGTGTATCAGATATGACAATAAGATAAATAACATGCCCAAAGTACGTGAGACAAAATCTCACCACCCTTGCTTCTAAGGAGCTTTCTGGCTGTACTTCTTTCAAGACAGACTTGTTTGTTCTTCTGGTAGTCCATGGTATGAGCAAGCAAGGTTGTATCATCTGCATATTACAGGCTGTTAATGAGTCTTCCTCCAATCCTGATGCTGTGTTCTTCATATAGTCCAGCTTCTCTTTTTATCTGCTCAGCATACAGACTGAGTAAGCATGGTAAAAAAAAAAAAAAAAAAAAAAAACAACCCTGACACACTCCTTTCCTGATTTTAAACCATGCAGTATTTCCTTGTTCTGTTCGAATGACTGCCTCTTGATCTATGTAGAGGTTCCTCATGAGTACAATTAAATATTCTGGAATCCCCATTCTTCACAATGTTATCCATAATTTGTCATTATCCACACAGTTGAATGCCTCTGCAGAGTCAATAAAATACAAGTAAACATCTTTCTGGTATTCTCTGCTTTCAGCCAAGATCCAACAAACACCAGTAGTGACACCCCTCATTCCATGTCGTCTTCTCAATCTGGCTTCAATTTCTGACAACTGTCTATCAATGTATTGTGGCAATGATTTTTTTTTTTTTAAATTATCCTCAGTTAAATTTTACTTACATGTGTGATATTAATGATAGTGTTCAATAATAATTTCTGCTTTTTGTTGGATCATTTTTCTTTGGAATGGGCACAAACATGGATCTCTTCTAATCAGTTGGCCAAGAAGCTGTCTTCCAAATTTTTGGTATATATCAGTCACCATTTCCAGCACTGCATGTTTGCTGAAACATCTCAATTACCATTCCATCAATTCCTGGAGCCTTGCCTTTCTCCAATGCCTTTAGCACAGCTTAGATTTCCTCTTCAATATCATCAGTTCTTCATCATATATATGCTACCACCTGAAATGGTTGAACACTGATCAATTCTTTTGGGTACAGTAACTCTGTGTATTCCTCCCATCTTCTTTTGATGCTTCCTGCATCATTCA